CCAGAATTCCCCAGCCAGCCATGCTGGCCGGGGAATTCTGGGGGTTGAAGTCCACACATCTCCAGGGTGCTGAGCTTGAGAAACACTGATCTATGCAATGGCCCCTTCTGTTTTACATCTTGCACATGCAAACCTCCCCTCCCCTACTGCTCAGCCTCAGCCCCAATCTTTCTTCTTTCTAGTGGCTACCTGCCCTCTCTTTCTCTGCGATTTCATAGCCCCTAGGAGGTGATTAAATTGGACCCTTACCAGTCAATATCTGGAAGATTCCCGTGGCATAAAACAGGCTTCCCCGCTTCATCGTGTAGAGCTGCCACATGAAAATAATGAAGGCCAAGCTCGAGAAGAGAAGGCTTAAAACCATGAAAGCTTGGACTGCATGAAGCCATCCTGGAGAGAGAAACCATTGGAGAGAAAAGACCATCAAGAGCAGACCTTCTGCCTTCTCCAATCAATTTTCCAACAGCCCAAATGGCTGAAGTGTTTCAGTCATGTTTGCTGGGAAATTCCAGGAGCTGTGGGCCCAACACATCTGAGGAGGACCTGGCTTGGGAAAGGCTCCATAAATGCATCCATATCTTGGAGTAGGATGGTCAAAATCAGCAGCACGGCAGATGGATTGCCCCTTCCGAACGGGCATGCAGGCTCAGTGCACGCAACATGTTCTCTGCCATCTTGCCAATTTTGAGCCTTTCCTGCAGATGCTCCTGGGTAGCAATGAACAAAAGGGCTATTTCCACAAAACACTCAGTATCCTCTCATATACTCACTACTATCAGACACTGGGTGGCAAGTCCAGTTCTGGTGGTGGGTATCCATCAAGCATTCATACCAGATGTTCACTGTTTCTTTATCAGGCAGAACCCACCATGACTAGAACAAAAGAGGCAAAGACATGAAATTAGGACAGAAAATATGAAGCCAAAGAGGTCACCTTTCCAAGTGAGTAAATGAGGGTTAATAAACTGCCTCCAACCAACAACTGGTTGGGGAATCTCTATAAAGTCTTGTTCACTCCCTTTGAAGCCACAGACCCCCATGAACACCAGTAATTTTACAGCAGATGAGTCCTTATTGTGCAGAGAGCTGAGTGTGCTACTTTGAAAATAATAGCCACCAACCAGCAACAGCTGTAATAACTGCAGTTTGGTAATAGTGATTTACACACACACACACACACACACACACACTGAACTGATCCTTGGAGTTAAACTGCACATTATACTGTAATTGTAAAATCTGTTTCCCCATCATGTGGAATCAGGGAGGGAAAATTCATTCAATGGAACAAGAAGCATTTGAAAACATTCTGGCTTTCTGAAATATTTTTCCACAATTTTTTCCCCTCAAGCTTTTCTTCTCTAACTGGTTTTATGTGCAGTCTGGCAGTGATATTGTCAAGCTGTGGAAGCTGCCACACATTCCTGAATCTCTCTCTCCCTGCAGCTTCTCCAAATTTTTCTGGCTTCAGTTCCTCCTTCCTGGTATGTGGCCACTCTGTCTCCCCACCCTTTCTCTATTCCAGTGTTTCTCAACCTTGACAACTTTAAGATGTGTGGACTTCAACTCCCAGAATCCCCCAGCCTGCATGGCTGGTTAGGGAATTCTGGGAG